GTGTCTATAAAGTTCACGTGCAATTTACAATGGACTTTACTCATTCCAGAGGTACCATTGGGGAGCTTTTCTGTCACTGCTGTTGATATCCACTGCGGGTATTTGTCTAATGATTGCCAAGATGCATTTCAGGTCTGCGGCAGTGGGGGAGATTCTTAATCCTCGAATTTGTAATCTGATTACTCTCAGGAGCTTCAGAGCAACGCTTTTCCTTCGACTCCTTGGAGTAGGGCACCATTTTTTTAAAAATTAAATAGTTCCTTAGGCTTTTGGACCTAGCTGTGAATACACAGAGTCTGAGCCAGGTATTTATCGAAACAACAGACAGATCTCTCCTTCATACATTATTATACATAGAAGCAAATAAAATCTCAAACTCTCTCTCCTTAGGAGTAGTAGATTTTGCTCAGAAGTAACTTGGTTCCTTATAAACCTCAATCTACATATAATGGAATGACACCAAAGGCTTAGGTTTAACTGCGTCTTAGAAAAAACACTCTCTTTAAACTGAGAACGCTGTTTTATACACTCAAAAAGCTGATAAACTGTGACTTGAAGACAGAGCAGGTTTGAATCAGCCATGGGAAATTTACAGTGATGATCTTCACAGTATTTTCAAGCTCCAAATGTACCCAGGGGCTACATTAGTAGCAACAGATGATTCTCTAGGTTTTCTCTGATTATATTCAACTTGACTGAGGACAAAATGACTTATAATCTCAGCTGCTGAAAGCTTTGCCATTCTTTTCCCGGGAACAAAAGGATCATCCTGGGCAGAAAAGCCAAAAGTCTGAAACTCACTGCAGCGTGAGATAGACACAGTTCGTTTTTGCATAAAACACAGAGTAGCACCAATATGATTTAAGAAAAAGACTTACAGAGAGATTATAAAAATTCTGAGGTTTGACCTCCTCGTTAATCAGGTCGCTTACCAGATATTTCCTCTAGGCACTGTTTAGCAGTCTTACTGTACAACAAATCCATCTTTGTGGGGCTGGTGCAGGAGTCAGCAGCTGGTAAAGAGGTACCTTCATTTTCTGAATGTGCTCTGAAATAAACCGAGAACAGAGGAAGTAGTAACTGTGGTCACCAGTGCCTCCGCTAAGTAGATGTTCTACAGTATAAGAAAAACCAATATATTCCAAATTTTCTATCAAGGTAAGTATTTTTTATTGTAGGGATATCTATATGAACATTCTGTTACTTTTCACATATAATCTGAGTGGGAGGGAGACATTAAATCAGATTTCTTTGACGTTTCTACTTTTGAAAGCTTATAATTACCAACAATTGATTATGTATTTGGGGCAAGAGGTTTGAAAAGATACAATTATCTTTTGCTATTTTAGAAAAACTATGGCCAAATTACATTTTTTTGGAGACTAATAAAAACATTAAAACCATACCTAAAATGATTTTTTTCCATAAAATTCCTACATCATAAAAATACAAGATCTGAGCTAAAATAAACAATGAATTTGTTCTAAGCTTTAAATGTCACTACAATGACTTCATTTACTAATATTTCAGAAAACTTAAAATCAGGGACAATTTCTCATTCCTACAACTACCTTTCTATCATGTGCTCTGTGTGTATGACCATGATTATGTATCTGTGGTGTGGTGATATGTAAAGAGTAGGTCCAATCAAATGAAAAGCATCTAACAAAGTGCTCACAATTTGGATACTCTCCTCTTAATTCCTGCATCCCTTCTTCTTTTTATGCATGGGAAAACATTTTAACATACACTTCCTTTCTTGATGCAGCTTCGAAATCTATGTATATTTGATCTATACGTTTTAAAAATTCACCACATGAACTACTAAGACACAAAAGAAGGCAAGCCCATGACGTCTTGCTTGCTGGACTGTGTTCTTTGTAGACATATCATTTGCCTTACTTGGAGTTCCATATCTAATACTGGGTGTGAGCCATGACAATTAATGTTAATATTTATTACTTTAAAACCATCTATAGTGAATATTAATATGTAAAAGGAAAGTTCAGCATATTTTAACTTTTTTATATTTTTATTTCAGATTAACATGAATGTATACATGATTAGGTTATAATCTTTGCATTTGTTAGATGAGGTCCCTGTGGTAGTTGGGTCCTGCACCCAGGAGGTGTGCAATATACCCTTACATGGTGCCCACTGGGTGGGAGCACACCAATCCCCCTCCCCCTTGCCCTTTCCCCAGCTTGAATTAAATTGAATTTTTCTCTTGTGTGAGCATGTATAGTTCATCCACTGGCTCCATATTAGTATTGAGTACAGTGGATCAATTTTAATTAATATTTTGCTTTCATTCTAAATCCTGGTATTGAGAAAAAATAGGGTATAATCACTGCTAACAGAAATAGCTGGTATTTAACCAACAGTTCTATAAATTCTGTAAAAGTCATTAAGATTTTAAGAAATTATGAAAAACTATATGCTGTGTGCATGGATGAGTATGTCATGTCTATGAACTGATGTGTCAATGTAGGATAGAACTATGCAAGAAATCCCACACAAAGCTGTGCCTTGCCCTCCAGGAATTTCTGGCAGTCTATTACTATGTTATTCTAACCTAAAATCTGACTATAAGGAGTGTAGCAAAATTAAGAAAGAGAATGCACCATTCAAGCTACAGGATGTACCACTACGGCCAGCAAGGACCCCAAAGATGCTGAACTCAACAGCCACTTTGTCTTCACTCTTTGATACCTTGGCAGCACTTAAAGAGCTGACCACTCCTCTCCCCTTGGGCTTTTATGACAAAAAATACTCCAGTTTATTTCCCATTCACTGTGGATTCTTTTGTCCTAGTTTGTTTTTCTTTACACCGTCATTGAATGTCATGGTTCTGGGTAGTAAAAAGAAGGGGATACAAAGAGCAAGATTTGAGGAATTCTCAAAGGAACAGATTAAGCCTCCTCCAATTTTTATACCATAGTCTAGTGAAGATGGTCTCATTAAGTTCATCGTATTAATTATAAGCTAGTCACACAAGAATTCCAAAATTTTAACTCTAACCTGGAACTCTGCTCTGAATTCTAGATGCAGTTGCCTAGTTGACATTTCTTTTTTATTATCACAAAAACACGCTAAACCCATCACATAAGGAAATGAACTCCCAATCTTTTTGAACAAACCTGGTTCTTGTTCATGGCCCTCGGGTGAAACCCGTATGGAGCCTACAAGGCCTCACTCGCGTGGTCTGTCCCTGTCTGCTCCCCAGCACCACCCGGCACACTGTAGCCATTATCCTCTCCACTGTGGCCACAAGAGCATTTCATACACTTCCCATAGCTGCCTGCCTAAACAGGGTCTGACACTTATTATTTTTATTTTCTTCCCCACTTCATCCAGTTGAGTGTATCTCTCCAAGCCTCAGCTCAAGTAACAGTGTCTTCAAGTATTCTCCCTAATTTCATTGATCAAATAAAATCCCCAATTATAAGCATTTAAAATACTCTTATAATATCAATACAATTATTTGATTAAGTTTCAATTTCAAAACTAGACTCTATTCTCCATGTTTAAGCCACAGTGTACTCCAATGTCTGGCCACGTGCCTTGCATATAGGTTTCATTCAATAAAATATTGGGTAAGTCTGCCAGGCAGAATCCAATGGATAAAAAGGAAAAACTCCACAAATATCTGATAAATAAGTGACTAAACGATATTAGTAGTGCTAGTAAAATATTATTACTAGCAGATAAGGCATTGGGAAATAGAGTGGAAGGATGGTGAATGCATAGGGCTTGGATGTAAAACTTGTCCCCATCACTAAACAGGTAACTCCAGTTGACACTAGCAAGTGACTGTACCTCTCTGAACTTCAGTTTGGTCATCTGTAGAAACAGGAAAAAAATATGTGTCTTGCAAAACGATTGTGAAATCAATTATTATATTACTAAAGGCCAAGTCATTCTCTTGAGGCATGTGGAATTCTGGTCAATTGTAAAACAGCTGATGTGTAAAATGATGTGTACACTCTTTGTGTACCCTGCCTCCTTTCTTCTCCGGGCCGCAGCTTTTCCCATATACCCTGTCTACCAATAGTCCCCCCAGCTCAGTTCTGAAGTTGACTATAGTCCATTCCTACACTTGGCTTCTTTTCTTGTGGCCACTCTTCTGCCTTGACCTCTTTGTTATCCTACTGACCCTTAATGCAGAGAAATAACTCCCCAGAAATGTTCTAAGTGTTTTTATTACTTGCTGAAGAAATTCAAATGGAGAGTCTGCAGTGAGATTATGGACCCCAGGGAGAGTCGACAGGCTGCATGCCAAGAAGTCCCAGAGACTCAAAGCCTTGCTGAACTGGCTGTGAGCCAGGACTGGCCTAGCGTTCTGCAGACTCATATTCACAGATTCATCTCTCAGACACTGAGTCACAGTGAGCCCTTCACTGAGATGTTTGTCTGAAGCCTAAGGCCAATTGGTCCCCATTAGAACACGACCAGAAGCTGTCACAGGGACAAGAATGCTTGTGGCCATGTTAGTTAAAGATTCTATCTCTCTCTAAGAAAACCTGGAGCAAAAGAATATTCAGAATGTGTTTAGGGAATAGAGCTTTTGCTTTGCTCAAAACAAATTAAAAAGCATTCCTTGGGAGCTGATTTGTGGGTCTCTTCCTCAGTATATAAGACGGGAGACCTCACCCGTTGGCTAAGTCCCTACTCGCCCTGTTTGAGATGGCCTTTTAAAAATGTGCTCATCTTTCTGACAGCTCAGTTTTGTCTTGGGCACTTTATTTTTTACAACGTGGCAGCGGGCTGATTTTGGACTGATTCACTCTTTTATGTCTTTTTAGTCTAAGTCACAAAATTTTATTTACCTTATTTTGGAGTTCTTTGGTGTCCCTCCCACGGTATTCCCTATGACAGTTATCTGTGCTAACAATAATATGAGAACACAGTGATCACGAAAGGAACATGGAGAAGGTGTGAGTCAAATCACTATAAAAAAAGATTTAAAGCCATCCTTGGTATTCACATGTAAATGGGACCATAAATCTCTATATCCATAAAAAGCCATCCATTTCTCAATTGTCACTAAAGCAGAAACAGATTTAAACTCCAGTCTATAGAGGGAAATTGATGGTAACTGCTAGCGATTTAGCCTTGATACAAATGCTCAAAGAAATTCAGTTAAATCTCTAGAGACTCCCAACATGTTATGTCTTTTTATGCATGCTTCATATCAGTAAAATAAAAAGATATGGATTTATGAAAAAATTATAAAGACTTGAGAATCAAGACTGTCCACTAATCAGAAGATACATTTGACAGATATAATGAATTTTGCAGTAAAATGATTCATTGTTCCTACCTAAACTGATGCTATATTTCCTTCAGAGTGACTAGAGAAAAAAAATAACTATCATGATATTCCTTCATAATATTTAGCAGATATTTTATGTGCTAGTTCTCTTACTGTGCAATCACAAGATGTCACTACATAGCACTGCAGAAATGAAATCTATTTAGAGTTCTAATAAGGCAAGCCCTTCACCTCTCACCAGTCAGCAGAGTCAAAGTCTAACTATACCAATGATTACTATAAAAGGTATTGTCTATTTTGCACAATTACTATGTACCCAATCTTGAGCCTATGGTGTTATCACTCAAAATTTACAATGCTATAATGTAGTTGCTGCTAGATAAAGAAATTAAAATTAAGACTTTCAGAGGTCAAATAATTTGCGGTAGGCAATCATCTGGAAGATGCTTAATGGGTACTTGAACGTGGCTGCATATAAATATTGATCTCTTAACTGCTACCCTACGGTCTAGCACCTTCCAAATGCCTATGGACATTAAGTATATTTTACTGCATTTGAGGTCCCCTTAGCTGATAGACAACTTAGTTACTAAGTCAATAACAGATAATGTTACTCAATTTGATAATCACCACTGGCTTACCCTAAATGTTATTCTTTATTGATTACTTAAGGGAATTCAGTGATAAATCCTAGATACTATAATCTTCAAATTTCCAACTTCATAAATATGGGTGTTTTAAGTATTGACTTGTATTTAAGAAGTATATCTCCC